CATTTCACCCACATTTGTGACTAAAAACAGACCTGCAAATAGAAACTTATTTCGGAGCAGCGTGTGAATAAAAAGTGACAACGTTAAGTTCACACAGTCCCCAGTTTGAAACAGAAACACTGATAACACAGCAGCAGTGATGACGGGCCACCACAGTTTAATGTGGTGCCGGAGTCTGTTTATACACCGCGAAGAGCAAAGAGGCAGGGCTGTTACCAAGGTGGTGAGGCTCAGGTGGGGAGAAAGAAAACGTGTTTCTAGTATCCAAAACAGCAGCACTGTTCCCGTGAACAGCATTAAAAATCTTTACTGGGAAAAAGCGAGCAGGATTACTTCATCAACCTGATCAATAATCTCAGACATGAAGAAAAGCAAACTTTGCTCCATCCACTGCCGTTTGTTTCACAGAGAGAAATCCATGGTTATATAAGCAAAATGTTAAGAAGTGATGATTTTAGGAGCTGTTTTTGTGTCTTTGCAGGTGTAAGGAAGATGGTGGTGGTGGATAACCTTTTGTACATCCTCGACACTGAGGTGAGATCCTGCTTTGTAAAACAGTTCGAACTTTTAGAGCAATCAGAATTTGAGTTTGAAATCTATCCTGGATTATTTCTTGTGTCTCAGGATGTTCTGAGTCTTTGGGATCTGCACTTTCTTGTCATGATTCACTGTTGGCCAGAACTCGCCGTTCATGACTTTCAGCTCACTGCAGAATGTGGCTCTGCCTCCATGGTGGCGTACGTATCACTGTTTTACAACGTACTGTAGCTGTAAACATGCACTGTTTGTTAAAACAGTTTTGAAAATGTTCATTCATGTGTGTATTACAGCCAAGATAAAGGCAGCATGAAGATGATCATGCTGACAAAGCAAGACAACAGTCAGGTAGAAGTACAAATTAGTTTTAAGAAGCTTTAACGGATGATTTCCCAGAGTTCTGCTCTGAGTTCTGCTCTGAACTCGTTATGTTGGGTTTGAATTTTTCAGATCAGCTCACTGCAAATACGATTCCTGCCCTCTATGACTGTTTGCTACTCTCTGGATGTTTCCTTTGTCTCCTGTCTTGTCCACACAAAAATAAACATGGTAAACGGTCAACACAAAGTAAAGCGTTGCATTAATTTTGCTACTGCAATTTCTGTCTGTTGAGATTTCTTCATGTTAAAGTTGGTTGCCTTTTTTTTCTGTGATTCCAGGATGCATTTTATTTAGTCGAGGGGATTTGTGAGAACCCAGAGAGGTGGGCTATGTCTGAGTGAGTTTTATTGTGATGATCGGCCTTTGCTTACCGTTCCAACATTAAACTTTTTTCTTGCTCTTCAAATAGTCGAAGAGAGCCAGTCGCTTCTGTGGTTGTTCGATCCTTCACAGAGGCTTTACCTGAAAACAGGTACCTAATTTAATTCAAGTTTATGACATTATAGTCTATATGATGTTGATGTAATTTCACTTAATGTGACTACTCTTTATTTCTAGGCTGAGCAGGCTTCTTCACAAACACATGTTTGAAGAGGCTGAAAAGTTTGCCATCACATTTGAACTGGATTTAGAGGTAATTGAGTTTGTGTAACTACAAGCTTAGATTTGTGGTTTATAGATCATTATGAATTAAAAACAGATGTAATATTTTATGATGAAGGTGGGAAACGTTGCATGACTGCATAACAAATGATATGACAGGTGCTCTTCAATGCAGACCCTGATTAAGACTGAGTCTTCTATGTGCTGGTGTTTTTTGTGTTTGTTTGTTTGTTTTGCCAGTGTGTGCAGAGACTAAATTTAAACTATCACTTCAGCAGCAGGCATGATTGAAGATTGGTTTTGTCATTTTTAAGTGGTTATACTTGCACCACACAATATATTTAGCTGGATTTCTGAGGTTTTGGTTTTCTGTATCTATTATTGTCGCTTTAGATGAGCGGTGCTTCTTATAGTATTTTGTCATCCTAATCAGTGCTGTATACAACAAGCACTCCTGTTTTTGTTCAGCTTGTCTATAAGGTGAAGCTTGACTTTGTGCTGGAGCAGCTGGCCTCTGCATCAGTGGGCGGTTATGGAGAGGATGTGTGGTCTGAACTGGTCGAAGAAGCCAAGACAAACCTGATGAAGATTACAGTGAGTATTATAACAGTACTGTCATCATCCTGCCAGGTGATTGGGCAAGTTGCGTGGACACCCAAGTTTGTGAATGCAATATCCCCAGAATGAGGCGACGTAGGCCTTTGAAAATGGAGGCTGAGGTGTAGCACTGGCAGCCACCAGCGTTTTATTTATTTATTCTTTTTAATCTGGTGTCAATTTACTGTTACAGAATATTCATATAACTACAGTGGGGGAAATAATTAGTATTTGATCCCCTGCTGAGTTTGTAAGTTTGAAAAAAAGACATTACATAAACATTATACATTGATTTTCATGTCATTGAGTGAAATAAGGATTTGATTCCCTACAGCCCAGCCAGAGTTCTGATTTCTTGTGTCAGTCAATTGATTTCAAAAACACTTGTTGTAAATGGAGAAAAAATATAAAGCTTTATATAAGCTCCATGGAAGGTTTTATCTCACGATGTGAGGAGAATCGCGAGAAATGTGATCAGTCTGCCCAAAACTACATGGGAGCAGCAGGAAGTGGTGTAATCAGATGAAACCAAACTAAAGCTCTTGGGCATGGACTTGAACCACCTTGTTTGAACAGAAATGCTGAGGGTGACCCAAAGTCAAGCACAGAGGTGGAAACAAAACATACCACCATTGCAGCAATTGAGTGGCTAAAGAAGAAGCACATTAAGGTCATTCAGTGGCCTAGCTAAATCTGTTGAGGGCACTGAAACAAGAAACCTAAAGGATTTAGAGAGTTTCTGTAAAGAGGAGCCAAAATCCCTAATTTTTGTGTGGAAGGCCTGGTGACCAACAACAAGAAACATCTTAACTGCTGTGCTTCCTAACAAGGGCTTATTTTGGTTAGAGATTAAATACATATTTCA